CACCTTTAAAAAAAAAAAAAAAAAAAAAAAACTGATAGTCTCCTGCAAATCTAATGTCTAAAAACTGAATGTACTTAGTGCAGCCTCTGAAGTCAGTGTCACTCATAAACATGTCTCCACAGATCTGGAGACCAGTACCTGCCCATGCACTATAGATCCTCTCTCTGCTTTTGCTGAGACAGTTCATGTACTCTTCTTTGCAGGGGATTCAAGGAAAAAGAAATACTCATGACTCTTCCCACTCAGTCACCCAAAATCGCCACTCTCTTCTCATATCCCCCCTTCTCATGATGGTAGCCTGTTTTAGCAGTAGACTGATGGTTTAGGTGTAATGACCTGCCAGTTGTGTGACCCTGACACTTAGTAGCAATGTCTGTAACATGAGGATGATCATAGCATCTGCTTCATAAAAATGTCCTGCACAAATCCAACTGCATGGAAGCGAATGGCAGAATGCCTGGCACAGAGGAAGCACTCAATAAATGTTTATTGCTTGTCACGACTCATTCCTAGGACCCATCTATTTCCCAGAGATGAGGCACCTAACTGTTGCTGGAGGGCATCCAAGAACTGTGCTGCTTTTGGCTGTCCACCCACCCGTTAATGTCTTCCAGCCTCACAGCTGGCCAGCCCTCCCCTAACTGACCCAAAACCTTCTACCACGTCTACTAGGGAAGTGAACCTCCAGGTTTCCTTCCATCTGTCCTTCCCAATTCAAAGCTCACTTCACTGTTGAACTTGTTTCTCCTCAAACCTCCCTGCAGTGAATCCACCTTCCTAGGGCCTAAAGACTAAAGCTGTATTTGAGAAGAGGGCACTTGGGGAACGGCAAAAATAACACGTTCCTGAAAAATCTAAAAGGGATTTAAAATCTGATGTTGGTGTCCCGGGCGCGGGCGCGGTCCCCTAGAATTCTGGGGTGATTAACTCCCCGCCACTCGGAGTGGCGCTCATAGCCTTGGAAGACTCCCAGGAAGGCCTGGCCGGATAGCAGGGAGCGGCGGTGGTGACCCTGGCCGGATAGGGGCCCGTCGCCTGTCTCTCCTCCCAGTGCCCGTCGCCGGGACACAGATGGAATCGGCCAATTCGCGCAGCCCAGACGGGTGAAGGGATCCCCGCTACCCGCGCCCGCGCCCCAGGGACGGCCACGCCCTCCAGCCGCTCCGGGACTCACCGCCTCAGCGCCCACGGCCATTCCCAGCTC